AGCCCGGCGGCATCGCCCGCCGGGCCGGGCCGGGGGGGGCCGCGCGGCCGCTGCTGTAATTTCCTCGCTCGGTGGCCGCTCCTGTCCCCGAAGAGCCCTCCCTGCCTTTCCCCCGGCCGCCGTGTGCGTGTCCGTGGAGGGAGATGCAGAGAAAACGCGTATCCACCTTCTGGGCTGGCACGCAAGGTCACACCGCCCAGCGAACACATTTTGGTGCCTTCTTGCTCTTTCCCCTGCATCCTTTTCCCAAGAGAAGTGCCCTGATTTTCGGGAAACTAATTGTCCATTCAGGAAAGTACTTTGATAGTGGTGGGTGTCTGGTTCGGCTCTTTGATTCCGGTTTTGTTAAGCAAGGTGCTATCCATCCACCCTCTGATAATGGTTAAGAAAGGACAGAGACTGTTGTACCAAGCTTTTAACTTCATCTGATACTTACTTTGAACTTCTACTCATCTTACTGTTCACTTTTCTTTTTCAGCAGTGGTAATAAATTGTGTCTTTTTACCAGAGTAATACCCATTGTAATCACACTTATTTCAGATACTTTTGGGTGGAGAGTGGAGGAGAAGGCAGTAACTAACTGATTTTTACACGCAACCCACCCAAGTGGTACCATGAGTGCAGTGATGGCAAAAAGTATGTAAAATGGGTTAGTGATTCCTAATTCTGGCAGAATAGGATCTGCTACTTCTCATGCTCACAAAACTGATGAGTTTACCTACCATTTCTTTTTACTCAGTGTAGTGGTAAATAAAATCTATGGTGTCCATAGAATCAATTACTGGTAGTTTCTTTGTGCATCAGGCTATGGTGTGGTAATATGACCAAACTGCTTAACCTTAAGGTTTTTCTCAAAGAAACTCCTCTGCTAGGCAAAACCTCTATAAAATATGTGGATCAGGTTCCTGTAATGAACATTTGGGAAAGAAGTAATATTATTGCCTGGATAATATATTAATATATATTATATAAATATATAGTATGTCAAAGAATTCTGTAATGGGAAAAGCACCAAAACCTAAGCAACTTTCTCTTCATTTTGAGGCCTGACAGATAAGAACAGGGAGGAGAAGATTTAGTAATTGTGGACACAAGTGTTGCAGCAACTGGTTTGGAAAAAGAAAACCCAAAAAACCAACAAACGACCATGCAGCAGCAATGTCTTTCTGTTAACATTAGCAAATGAACTGTCTTTATTTTGTGGATGCTTAGCAAAGAGGGAGTGGCAAGGTGAAGAGTATGTAGAAGAGTGGGAGATAGTAGGAAGTGTCTTTCAAGCACAATGGTTTCAAAGGTTAAAAGCAAATAGATGTGTTTCTATATATATGGAAAAAAACACTGGACAGTGAAAAGTAAATAGAAGCTTGTCTGGATAAAAATATAAACATGGAAACAGGAGAGTTCTGAGTAAAGATAAGCAGGATAGTATTTGAAAGCCCTAGAAGTGAATGAAGAGATGTTGTTGGAAGCAAACAAAAGCCATCTTGTGTTGGTAGAACTGCTAGCACATAATGGCAAGGGACTTACGTAAGGACACTGACTGTATGTGTATCTTGTCTAAATATCCTTGGACTGATGAACTGTTGAAACATCTCAGGTTTGATGTCTTCTTTTGGTATTAAATACACGGCAGCTTTGTAGGACATTCTTCCAAATTATAAGTGTGTTTTGAGTTTAAATTGGAATAAATAGACATTGCAACACCTTGTTAAAAACATACCTAAGGAGAACTTCTGTAATACAGACCACTGCTGGACTTGTATACATGTTCCATGGTTGTGTTCCATGCTTGTATACACTGTTTTTAAAGTATACCATCTATAAGACAGACTGGTTTTTTTCCCAGTGTTGGCCAGAAGAGGCGAGAATTATACCTTGAACTGTTGGCCTCTTTGATCTATCACTACTAAAACGGTCAGATAATGATGGTTGCCTTTCTTTAATCTTTGCAAAGACCAATTTGAGGTGTACTGGCTAGAAATGAATACACATAGCAAATGAACATCAAGGTAAAAGAAACATTTAAGTGATGCAAAAACTTTTATGGGTAATTTAATAATTATTTAATGTTCCATGGCTCATTTCCATTTTATTTACTCATGGGGCTTGTTAGGTCCTATCTGTAGTTGATGTGTTTCATAAAGATCTACTGACAAATGCTACTTTTAAATTAAAGCCAAAGGAAAAGATTTTTTGGTGAAAATATTTTGGATGCTCTTAAAAAAATCACTCCATTTGTATCTGTCCCATAAGGCTGAGTGTAATTTCTCTGTTCTGTGATGTAAACTTTCATCAGTGTTAGTGTTTTGTCACAAAATAGATGGTAGTTCAAGAATGATGTTTATGGGGAAGCAAAAAGTAGTTAAAAATTGAACAATTTAAACATGATAGTCACCAAGTTAATGTGATGTCTGTATTTTTAATTTTTATTTTGGATGTAGTCGTACAGGATTTAAAATTGACTACAGTTGCTACTTTTTTCTAACAGGGGACTCTAATAAATTGGTATTTACAAATAATTAAATTAAACTTTTAATTGATGGTACCACTGTAATTCCAGTAATACATTTCAGGATTTGTTTTTTCCCCTTGAGAAAGTTGGATAGACCTTGTCTGTGGGCTAAAATCTTACCTGTAAAGATGGAGAAGGGGGAGACTTTTAAAACTGGCTAGAAAAGTGGAGAGAACTTTCTTAGAAAACAACTGGCCAAGCTCAAAGGCTTAGAAATGTCTGTGGTGTGTGCTTCAGCTTAGCCAGTATTCCTCTTTGCCTCCAAAGTTTTCAGACATGAGACAGAGGAGTTTTTTTTAAAAGCAGCTGACTACTTCAGTAGTTTGACAGATAAATCCTTAAGAGTTGAAATAATATCAAGGTCACAGTTTGAATGTCTCCCAATTAAACAGGGTTTTTTTTTTTGGTATGTTTCTAACTGTACAAATTGAATAGTGGTGATCAAGAAGATTAAAGTTGTCTCAGCAGGATTCTGCTTTAGGGTTTCATTTTGTTGGTTTTAATAAGATTTTTTAAAATTTCATTCACGTTTTACAGTAATTTAACTTGTCCTTTGAACACAGTATAAAGGAAAGTGACGACATGGAACAAATTTAGCAGTCAGTCTTCCAAATGTCTTTGCAGAGGACTTTGGCAAGCAGTAAATAAAGGGGTAATCATGACTAACTGGAAAAAGATTCCTGTGTGCTTTTAGAATGGTGAAAATATTTCAGCTGATGGGACGATACTAAGGCTAGGGGAGAAGGAAGTGCGAACTGGAGGGTAAAGAAAAGCAGCGTAAAATGTATGAGAGGCTTATGTGAAGTGAATGATTGAGTGTTCACTTGGAAAAATTGTTCTGGTCGCTGAAAGTGCGCTGCACACATATACATACCCTCCCCATCCTGGCTGACAACACCATCAGTTGGTATCTAGAGAGCGGGTTATTTCTGTAAGGCTCTCAAAGGGAGGAGAGGAAAGAAAAAGGCAAGGGGGAAGGATAAGTGATCTTGAGTTGCACTGAATTAAGTGGAAGAGAAACAGTGGTATCCTCATAAAGGTGTGCTAGTTCAGGCATGCCCCAAATGGGAGAGTTAACACAGAGACAGAGCTCTTGGCACGTGAGCAGAGGGATTTTTAGACAGAAGACACACCTGGAGTTCCTCTTTTATGAGTAGGTGAATGCATCATGATCATCCATCCGTATACTTAGGGGAAATAGGATTGCACGACATCCTAGAGCAGTGTACTTAATTACCATTTTTCATAGTTTTTGCAGCTACCTTTCAACTCTACAAATTCACTTTTTTTAGTATTTGCGAAGGACTACGGTTTGGCTTTGAAAATTCCAAAATAGTATTAGCATTGTCAAAAACTTGAAATATTAAACACAAAAAACCCGACCATGTGACTTTCTTAACGTATTTGGACACTACTTGTCCTGAGTTTCCTTAGTTTCAAAGTATGTAACTTTATCAGATGTTCTGTAACTATGAGTTGTTATGCCCAGCGGAGATCAGTGCCTAGAAACAGATGGGGTCAGTAACTCCACGCAGCACACCACCTCTCCCGTCCTGAGTGAATACCATAACAGATGGAGCCCAAAGTCTTACACCAAATGAACGCAATGAGGATGTGTTGTGATAGTGCGGGACCTGAACATGCTGTAATAAGGGATGGAGAATGTACTGGCTTTGCCCCGGGTAGAGTTAAATTCTTTGTAGTAGCTTGTGTTGGATCTGTGCTGACAGTCGGGTTGATAACACACCGATGTTTTAGTTACTGGTTGAGAAGCTGTGCAAATTTTAGTGGTCAGAACTTGAATTGCTTAAAGTCCCATTAGTTTGTCATTGACACACCTTCAGTTGGGGAGTGTCTCTTACTGTATATCCAGCCATACAGCAGGGGAGGGATTGGAGCATAGAGCCTCAAGTGTGTCCTTCATGGGATGAAAAAGCATCCTGTAACTCCTAGATCGCACATGAATGAAAAAACCCGCATGTATATGCACTGTTGCCACATTTGAATTCCTGTCATTTGGGCCTGTAATTAGTTTTTGATCATATGAGGAAAAAGCCTGCAAAATTCCTGGGAGAGCAAGGGTCAGAAAAGTGCAGTCTGAAACTGCACCCTCATTCTGAAGAAGGTGTCGTAGAAAGTGAACCACAAGCCTAATGGAGCTCCTCTGGTGTGTCAGTTCATTGGCTTCAGATCTGACACACTTAAGGAATAAAATCAAAACCATGTTCCAAAACCAACTTGATGAATTTCTGGGGCTGGTTGTTTTTTTTAGGGTTAGGTAAAATTTGTCATGTAGTTTGTGTGGTAATGCTGCTTTTTTTTACAGCCTGTTAATTTTTAATTTTTATGTAATTAGTACTCCAAGCTCCTATAAAGTCATACAAAGAAAGTGAGGGCATTTTAATCAGATTTTTTTTTAATCTTAAAACCAAAATCTAAATGCACTATTCTAGTGCTTTAATGATCTACTTGTCAATTTGGTATACAAAACTTACCTATGAGACCTTAGTTTCTTAAAAATAATTTTGTCAGTGATTGTGACTGGTAAGTCAGCCCATCATTTTCATCAACGGATAATAGTTTATAGCTTTCATAACTCAGTTCTAAATTAAAAGTATGAAACTTCTACTAAAAAAAAAAAAGCATTTAATTAAACTCATTCTTTCTAAAAGATGTTTGATGTAAATCCAAGAGTTGAAGAATTAATTTAGAGCATCATTCACATTCCCTAGGTGACGTGAAAGCTGGCTGTCTGAATAGATTGGGGTATTGTAACAGTAAATTTGTACCTATTGTTAAATAACAGCAAATGTAGTGCTGAATACCATATGTAGTTGTCTGTTAGCAGTTTCCAATAATTAGAGTTTTCTTGGAATATAAGGAATATAAACAGCTAAGAGCTTTAGCTAAAACTTATTCTAAGTTTCTATTACTTAGATCTCCCAATGTTGCGGAAAAGTTTCAGTCCATTACTTTCACGAGTTTCTTCTGTTAAATGCAAACTGCTTATTGTTAGATTTAAAAACCGTTCTAAACATGCCTTCTATCTCTGTGCATCACTTGCTGTTCATCTCCAGAGGTTCTGAACAAAAAATATTAAGAAATGTAGTAAAGACTTGGTCTTCATTATGGAATTCCTGCATTTGCTAATGTGCCCTGGTTTATTATGTTTAATCACCTGTATGTTGAGGACAAATGTATTTTTTCTAAATCACAGGCTATTCTTGGTTATTATCTGAAAGACTGATGAAATATTGCTAAGATTATCTTCAAGGTCACCTCTAAGAAAAGTTACAGAACCTTAAAATAAATCTTATCTTGTATGGTCTGAAATTACAACTGCTCAGGAAACAGGTTTTGTTCCTGGTTTTGGTGGAGGCTTCTATCTTTTGTTTCACAGCTTATGCTAAAATCTCAACCAATCATCTAGCCTCCAACAGTGGAGACAAGCCAGAGCGTTTTGCTGTGGCAGGAATAGAAGAGTCAAGGTCACCTGCTAGAATGTTATTTCCTTTCCTCTCCTCTGAGCACTACAGATTGGGAACTTTGACATAAGATGTTACCACAGTATAAGTCCTTGACACTGTTTTCTTCATGGTGGGGAAGAAGCGAGGGTGAACTGTCAGTAAATTAAGTTCAGTAATACAGCCATAGAGAGCTATGTATTGATACTTGGTATACAGCTCTTTAGAGTGTACATTCATATATTAATTCTGCAGCTCAGCTGTTGTTTACAGTTCAGTAGCTATGTATAACTAGTACAGCCAGATCAGTCTTAGGGAGTAATGCATATTTAAAACAAATGTATGCCATTAGGTTAACGTAATATTCTTTCTTCAACCCTTTAACTAGCTTATTAATTTGTAAAAATGCTAACGTGGTCAACTGTTTCATGTTCACAGTCCAAATCTTTGACCTGTTTTATAAATGCAAAGAGACTGTTGTGTTGTGCTTGACTCCGCCCCCCAAGATACCTTTTTTTGATCTGTATTTGTGTATTGATTTCTAGGTTTCTTTATTCAGATGAAGTTCAGATTGGTCCAGAAACAGTCATGACTACTTTATACACTGCTAAAAAGTATGCAGTCCCAGCCCTGGAAGCACATTGTGTGGATTTTCTAACAAAGCACCTCCGAGCAGATAATGCCTTTATGCTGCTTACTCAAGTAGGTAAATTTAAGCTTAGTTTTGATTCACTAGGAAAATCAGTATTTGGAGGAAAATTACTAAATATTACATCACAGTAGGTTTGGTGTCACATAGTCTAATTCATGTATGAAAATGTCTTGTTGCTCTGCTAGAATTTTTAAAGACTCATCTTCTTATTAATGTGGAGGAAAGGCTTTTTTTCCTTTCTTTTTTCTTTTTTTAAGCATGCAATAGACTAGGACATTTCAGATGAAGTTAGTTTATCCTACAGTGTATTTGCCTGAATCTTTTTCTGTTAAGACTGTGCTTCAGTTCTCTATATTGGATTTTATGTGTACTTTTTAAAAATTATATTGCATTTAGTGAATTCTCATTAATTATGTACTCCTTTGAGAATTTAAGTGCTCTTTAGGGTACAGAGTACTTAGAGAAATCAACCTATTTTAATTTGGATCTATACTAGAGTAAAAATAGTTGCTTTTTAAGATTAGTGGTTTGTGAACTTTATGCTTAAAGATGTATTTCTCTACCTTTACAGGCTCGTTTGTTTGATGAACCTCAGCTTGCTAGTCTTTGCCTTGACACAATAGACAAAAGTACTATGGATGCAATAAGTGCAGAAGGCTTTACTGATATTGATATAGGTAAGTAATTTTGTGTGTCCTAAGCATTAAACTTCTGAAGGGAATTGTAGGTCACGAGAAGACTTTGTTACACTGACTCAGGATAGTTTGCCTCCCACATCTGAGTGGGTAGAGTCCCAGGCACATTGTCTCCTTGTCACAGTAACCTGGAGTAGTTCACTTTCCTCCTCATCTGCACCCACCTTTGCACAGACGCCAACGCACCGGCCAGCTGCAGATCTCAGAATGCGGATGACAGTACCTGCACTACAATCAGCGAGTTTGCTAATGAGAAAAAGAGGACATTGCATATGTATGATATGTTAATCAGCACACGTTTTATTGCCCACCCCCACAGTGCTTCACTTGGTGTCGGTGTCCCCAGCGGGGCTCCCACCATGATCACACTTTTGGCTTTCATTAAAGCCAAAGCTTTCACTTAACTCAGTGTTGTGCCTCATCCCTGAGGGATCCAAACCTGCTTTTTGCATGTAACAGGAATCACACTGTTTTGTTGCCACATGGTATTTCTCTATTTAGAGTTGTGCAGATCAGGTACAATTTATGAAATCTATTTAAAAAATAAATACCTAAACTTCTGGTTTCTTTGTTTCATCTTTTATGAAAAGCTAGCAGTTGTAAATTTGCTTACTTAGTTTCATTGCTACTATATGTCTAAGATTTTACTCCAATTCAGCTAGACTGTGTGAAAACTCAGACTGAGGGAAGGTGTTCCAGCTGCTTAAAGAAATTGTTAAGTTATTGTTAACTCATGTTCAGTGGGATTTGTGCCCAGACTGTGAGTGCTTATCTCTGCTCTTGATAAGTCCCAATCTGTTTTGACTTTCCCATGTGATATTTTCTATGACTGCAAACATGCCTTGCTTAAATTCAGGGCATATAAAAATTCCCAAGGAAGACAGAAGATTCAGAATATGAAAACACATTTGTTTTCAGGCTTGTGTTCTTTGATAAACTGAGATTTTTAGATACCTGTTATTCATAAAATGCCAGAACAAGTAAGAAATACAGGAAAACTTGCTTTTTGTAAAAACACATGAGAGTACCTAGCCTCACACCCTGTGTTCCACCTTTGAGCTTTGTGGGTGGCAAATACTTCAATGTTTAAGATGACTTTCAGGTATCTTTAAACTGGTTTTGCATGCACCACTGCTGCTTGTGTCTGTAGTTGATCCAGATCGGCAGGTGGCTATTCGGATGAAAGTATGACAAAGTCATCATGAATAACTTGTTTTTTTAGTAGTGTGCACTCAACGCTTGGTCACTTCCAGTTTTAATCCTGCCCTAGCCATGGAAACTCTTTAGGATATTGGTTGTCACTACATACATTATATATAGTCACACTCTTAGGAACCCAGAAGAAAGTTCATATGCTGTCTTCATAACAGGAAAACTATTTTTTTAGTTTGGAGTCTGTACACCACTGGGAGTTTTCTATATACATATGTTAAGTTGTCTTATAATGAATGTTCTTAGTGTTAACATGTTAAGCTTACTTAGTGTGTAACACTGTTATTGGTGTGGCTGAAAACGGATATAAATCTGTTAATACTTTTTTCTTTAGACACATTATGTGCAGTTCTAGAAAGAGATACCCTTAGTATTCGAGAAAGTAGACTCTTTGGAGCTGTTGTTCGCTGGGCAGAAGCAGAATGTCAAAGACAACAACTGCCTGTGACATTTGGAAACAAACAAAAAGTCCTTGGAAGAGCTCTTTCCTTAATCCGTTTTCCATTAATGACTATTGAAGAGTTTGCAGCAGGTGAGTTTTGGGGTTCTTTATCTTACTGTTAGACCATATCTCTGCACTGTTCACCTGTAAGTGTTTAGAGTTTACATTTAACACCCTTATTAATATCATGCAATAAAGGTTGTGATACAGAAATGAAAGGAAAACATTCTGCAAAATATGTTGTGGCTGTTGGAAAATATTATTGTCCTCTTCAGCTTGCAGATATGTGTGGTTCAAATACAACAGTTGGGAGTAGTTCTTCGACTCATCTTAGAAGTTTTTTCTTTTCACAGGCCCTGCTCAGTCTGGAATCTTGTCAGATCGGGAAGTAGTAAATCTCTTTCTGCATTTTACTGTCAATCCTAAACCTAAAGTAGATTATATTGACCGACCAAGATGTTGCCTTAGAGGAAAAGAATGCAGCATTAACAGGTTCCAGCAAGTGGAGAGTCGCTGGGGCTACAGTGGAACAAGTGATCGGATTAGGTATGGCTTTTGAAACAGTTTGTAGGAGAGACAAAGTGTGGGAAGAAAGGGATGGTATTACTCATCTTTAACTTTTTGGCGTAAGATACAGTAACAAACATGCTGGTTCTGTTTGGGCACGTGTAATCTTTCCCTTTTTTAAAAATAACTTAGACTGCTGCACTCATAAAATACGGAGTAGCAAAGAACAAACTTCAGGATGACTGCATGCATTCTGATTGGTTGTTAGCTGCATACTCCTTTTTAAAATACCAAGTCTTGATCTGATTTTATTTTGGAGATATTGAAAGGAATCTGGCCATTTTTCATTTAGTGATACTGAATATCTTGGGGGCTTAGCAAAGCTTTAACCTATGAAGCTGATACCTTACATAGCATTTTTCTTACTACTGAAATCTAAATGGAAAGTGTTATTGAAAAAAAAAAAAAAATTCAATTTACTTCACTACTCTTCCATGGAAGTCTTTTTCCTACTTGACTAGGAATAAGGTAACACACTTATCAGAGTTGTTTAAATTCCTTTCTTGGCTTGTGTCTTACTAGGTTCACAGTTAATAGAAGAATTTCCATAGTGGGATTTGGATTATATGGATCTATTCATGGACCCACAGACTATCAAGTCAATATACAGGTACTAGATATTCTCTTTAAATAGGCTTGTGCAGAAACTACACTTGCAGCACTTGCAGAAGGTTTGATGTAGATTTAGGTAGGAGCAATTGATAGGTCAGGAATCTATCTAACCTGTGTTTTGTCCCCAGCAGTGGTCATAAGCAGATGACTAGGGAAAAGTAAGAACAGTATGAAACCCTTCTCCCTTTCTGATGTATTCTCCTGTCTTTCAGTCATTTTCAGTGTAAGTTTTTCCCATGACTGATTTGGTTTCTCTGCTTAGTAGCTCCTGGTGAATCTTCAGGATACTTACCTGGTCTAACCTTGAATTCCTGTAAGCTGTAAGGAATTTCATAGCTTTATCCTCTGTTCAGTTGTGCACAAAGTCTGTCCTTCATTAATAAAGTTTCTAGTAATTCAGTAAAGAGATCTTGGATTTGTCATCAACAGCTCTCTGAAATCAGTGACACGTGTAAGTGACTGCTAAAAAAGCCCACTGTGTCATCAGGAAGATACCAAAAACAAGATAAAAGGTGACATTGTGTTGCTGTATGAAAGCCAGGTATACCCACATCTTGAGTATTGTGTGCAGTTCCCAATCCTACACAGTAGAATTAGAAGATAAAGAGGAGGGTAACTGAAACAATTAAGGGGATAGAGCTGCTGCTTTATGTCAGAGACCAGAAAGGCTAGGATTCTTCAGTCTGTAGGGAGGAAGGCTATGGGGAAGTGTGGGCAATGTTTCTAAAATCATGGGGGCAGTGCGTAAGGTAAATGCGGAACTTTTTGTTAATCACCAAACCCCATAGTAGTAGAACTAGGAGACTCTGACTGATACTAGCAAAAGATCAAAACAGTAAGAGTATTTTTTCAATGCAGAGAATACTAAGCATACTGCAACATGAAGCAGATATCCTGTTTTGAATTTGGTGGTATTTGAACATGCTCGTTCATCAATAGCAGATCCACTAGAAGATTCCAGAAGAATCAGAAGGGGCATGTGCACCATAGCGCCCCTAGTACGACAGTTTTGGATGCTGGGGGGAATGGACAGCAGAGCCCAGACCTGTGTGCTAATCCTCAGCAACATCTTCTCTTGCCACTGTTGCACTGCACTGGACCATTTGTCTGACCCAACTGGGTATTTATTACATTCTTAGCTCACCTGGTACATGTATTGGGGCTTAGAGGCTTGTCCTTGCCCAGAGCTTTTTGGAAAGATTGACATCTTATTTGATACTGGGTTCAGTCTGGGGCAGAAGGTTGTATGTTACTGTTACCGTAACTTCTGCCATAAAATTACTCCAATTTTAGGTTTGCTGAAAACGTTGTTCCAGCATAAGAATCTCCCTGGTTTCTTCTTCTGGTAAATGATTGATTTGTATTGCTGTTCTCCAGGCTCCTACAAGAAGATCTTATCCTGCTGCTACTTGTTTTATATCTTCATGATGTTTAGCTCACCAGAAAGTCTGTAGGGCTTTTTGCTACTGCTGTGTTGAAAGAATGATTTAACGTTGGTTTTGATATTTTCAGATAGCTGTTCCTAAACCTTCTTTTGGCCTGCTTAACTGTATTTTTTAAATTTTAATCTGTCAGTTTGAACCTTTCTATTTTAATCTGGATACAACTTCATGTTTCTCTATGATGCCCTTTTTTGTTTATTTCCAGTAATAGCCTTTTGCTGATCAGCCATGCCAGGTTTTTTCCCCTTTTCTCAAGCCTTTCCTAATAGGTGATACGCACCAATACTGTACTTGGGCGCGTGATGTCATTCCGTAGTCTGAATGCTTCTTATAAGGGTTTGATTTTAATTGCTCCTTTTAGCTTCTTTTTGAATAAGCTTCCTCATTTTTTCTCCTTTTTAATTTTAGCACAGCCGTGGTGGATTTGCTTTTGTTGTTCACGTGGGAGTGTTGACTCTTAAGGATATTATGGACACTGTTACATAGTGTTTCCATTATGAAGTTTTGAATCTGATCCTGCTCATCACTCAGTACCAAATCAAGGGTTGCGTTTCTTCCAACTGAGCAATTGGTTAGCAAGCTCACGAAATGGTCAGTGATAGCATCTAAAAATGTCACCCCTGCTTCATGTCCTGACATGACACTTGCCCATTCTGAGCAGGTAATTGAAGACACCACTAAAATTGTATTTCCTGCTCTTCTAGCCTGTTTGATCTCTCTCAGCAAGTCGTGGTCAGGATTGTCTTCTAGTAATATTGATCCAGTACTATATTTTTTCCTTCTTAATTATGGAATTTCAGTCCATTTGAATTCTCTTTCTTATGATAATAGTTTTGATTTGATTCTAAGCTTTCTAACAAGGTATTGGCATTCCATGTCTGGCATGGTTTGACTCTGTGCTATGTATGTCGTAACCTGGTACTATCGCATCACACTGATTTATTAAGTATGTGGGAAATTTTGTGAAAGAAAGCATCTGTGACGTCATGTAGGGACAGGAATTCCATTGTCCTTATCTTATTTTGTAGACTTCTGGCATGTGCTGGGACTGCTGTTTTGGTTCATTTCTGGGCATCCTATTTAAATATCAGTTTATTTGTTTTCTGTTTCCTATTTGATGATTACTGTTCTCTGACCATCCTGTACTTAAGGATAGGAATTTTGTGTCTGTCTCTTAAGAAAAAAATGTTGTGCCTTTCCTTTTATGATGTTCCAAACAGAATGTAGCTGAAATGAGGTTTTGAAGGAATTTATTGGCTTTTCCACATTCCTCAGTTTAAAAGCTCACTTGCAAATTGATTTGAAGTGCCGTCGGTTTGGTTTTCTCAAACAGTACATTTACGTAAATGAGTAACATAATGCACTAGATTGGATCTTTAGAACAAAAGAGTTGGTGCTGAGAACCTAGCAGTTATACTGTACATCTGTAGGGATTTTCACTTTGCATTAACTCGTGTTTGATTCTCTCAGCTGAATTCCAAGATGAAAGCATTTGGTGTGCTTCCTCAGCATGTTTACTGTATTTATTTCATCTGAAAAGAATTTAGTTCTTGCAAGGCAAACCAAAGCATATTAAGTAGGAATGATCAAGAGATTCACTTGAAAAACATGTTCCCAGTCCAAACTGAAAGGCTAATGTACCTTTATGTTTCAGATGAAGGCCATCCATCTTACACAGGTTCTCTTTATTCTGGAAGTAGCCCCAATTCCTGATGGCTCTGAAACTTTCTTGTCACAATCTTATTAGACAGGTATTTAAGTCCTGTGTCTCTGCCTTTCTTCTTGGACCTGCATCAGTACTAGCAGAGCTCCAGAGTGTTATTTATTTAATTATTTAATACTTGTCCTAAAGTAGTGATGATGTATATTGTAAATCTTTTATGTGAAAGGGGCTTAGGACTTCAGTGTTATAATTGTTAATATTTCTACTGATTGTGGCCGGAAAAAAAAATATTTGAGCCTGTTTTGCCTAGAATAGGGCTTCATCTCATTTGTGCAATATTAAATATGATATGGCAATTTAATAGTATCAAAATTGATTACTGCACCAACAAGAATCCTATCATGAGAAGCGTTCATGTTACTCTAAAGCTCTGATACCCAGCTTCTGCAAGAGGTGTTCAGCAGCATGGATCAGGATATCCAAATGAGAAGTGAGGTATCTGCTACTACTACATCTTAGCTAGTGCTTCCTATTCGCCTCTAAAATTGAAGGCAAAAGAATTAAAATGTAGTCTAAGTGTAATTTTTATACAGAATCCAGAATAGAAGTAAATTTTACAAAACATAGCAGCGCAAGTTCTTGTTTTAAGAATGTTAGCATTGACTGCCTATATTATCAGTAAAAACTTGTTTTCTAAATTAGCCACAGCCAGCGAATATGCTTCCCTCATGTGGGCTGCGTTGGCGTACGGAGATCAGCAAATCTAAGTACAGGATTATGTGTAGTATTTGAAGGTCAGAAGCTGAAGGTCTGAGAGCTATTTATTCTTCACCTCCCAAGCAAAGACTGTAACCTGGTTGGAGCAGTGTTGAATCTAGCTCACAGGTCGGACAGCCTGTGTAAAACTCAGAAGCCATCATTCGGCATGCTGCTGGGTCAGCCCTAGTGGTATCGGGAAATGACACCTACTTTCCAATTGTGCTGTCCTTGCAATTAAACTGGGTGGAGTAGGCAAGTGTTTGGTTGTAATCTTCTAATCTGCATACAATAAGAATCTTTCTCCAGCTTGTAAACCTAAAAATACTTTTCATGTTTTTGTACAGATAATTGATTATGAGAAGAATCAAACTCTAGGACAAAACGATACTGGGTTTAGTTGTGATGGAACAGCCAGTACATTCAGAGTTATGTTCAAAGAACCTATAGAGATTTTGCCAACCGTTTGCTACACAGCTTGTGCAACATTGAAAGTAAGAATGCCTAACAGTCCAGAAGAAAATACTGTTTTGATGCAAGAAATGTTCTTTTATCTGTCTTCTGATGGAAAGGTGTCTTCTAGATCTTGAATTTGTTTTAAGCTTAGTGCTAAAGAAGGATGTAGTTAAACTCCACAGTAACTTGTAAGTCTGCTAAGTAACTGTAAGACTTCTATGCCACAGCACAGAATTTGTAACTGGATCTTTTGGCCTCCCCACTTTCTGGCTTGATGTAAGAGTTAGAATGAGTCCTTCTGGGAGTCACTGGTTCTGTGTGGGCAAAAGCACTATCTAGAATATTTAATCTGGAAGCTCTTTATCAAAATTTGTTTGATTTCTTTTATTCTAATGACTAGCTAGAGTCAAGAAAGCTGAAAGGTTTTTTTAATCACTTATTGTATTCTAGTGCTGAAATATAGGAAGGAATTACTGTTCCAGGAAAGTCTTCTCTTAATGTTACAGACAAGTTTATTTATTCAGTTTTCTCAAAAACCTTTTAATATTCTTTTAAATATAATTCCCTATACAGAAATGAAAGTTGAGGGAGTTGAATAAAATCAAGCTGTCAGAGAAACTTTTCTTTGTTATCTAGACATAGTGCACTTGCTTCTGTTGCCTGGGATTTTGTATAAAACTTAAATAATGTGGGTACAGAAATTTTATACTATTAAAATAACCTAAGTCAGTAATGTTAGAACTTCGACATTTTATGGGTCTTGCTGCCCACTTCCATTCAGTTACTCATCCCTTCTGATATTTTTCAGGGTCCTGATTCCCACTATGGAACAAAAGGTTTGAAGAAAGTGATTCACGAATCTCCTACTGCTAGCAAAACATGCTTTGTCTTTTATAGTTCACCAGGTAACAACAATGGTACATCAATAGAAGACGGACAGATACCAGAAATCATATTTTATACTTAATTCCACATGATCATCTCGAATGCCTCTGTGTATCAGTGGACTTCAGCTCACTATTGACAGCAGTTAAAATCCTATGAAACTACATGAATGTGTAAAATTTTGAAAACAAAACTAGTTTGAGAGGTACCAGAAAAGCTATTTTCTCTGCATCGTTATTGGCAGAATGTGATTTAGCTTTTCCTCTTACCAAATTGTCACGTGGAATAAATGCTCTGTATATTGAGAAGATTGTTTTAAATAGTATCTTGTGATTAATTGCTTTGTATTTTCACCCCTTCATTTCTCATGTAGTAAAATTCATTTTCTGAACTGGAAAATCCTTAATCATTATGAACTTCTTGTGTACGTTTTCCCTAACCTGTCCTAAAAAGACAGTAAAGCTGCTGCTGTAGTTCCAGCTTACACTTATTTCCAAAATGACCTTGGAATGACCCTACGGACATGAATTGCTACTATATTTTTTGAAGTACATCAGCAAAGCTGGATTCATATTGCTATCATCTTGGCTGTTTGGATGAGCTGTGGAGAATTAACAAACTTAGCCCTGCAGACAGCATCTGCAGCTTCACTGAAGAAACACTTAAGTTAAATTCAGCAACAAACAGATCTTTCCAGAATCTCTCTTAATTCAGAAGGGCTGTTTTGGAACATAGAGCTGGTTATGGAAATAGCCACTGTATATACATATGTGCCTATAAGAAAATGTATAGTGTGAAAAGGAGAATACAAGACTTGTAATGATGTTATTTTATCATACTAAAAAATTAGTATGAACTAAGGATTGTGTGCAACTGGTCTTAATGGATTGCATACACTACTTCGATGCAGTGGATGTATGTATATAATATTCAGTGTCATGCGGTATGTGCTGTGTAGAAGTAGAATGTCTCCATGTACAAAATCCTGTACCCTCCCCCAACTTATACTAAAGTAATAATTTGAGAACACGGGAGAAAAAAAAAAAAAAAACAACAACTTCTTTTTTCTCTAATTTCTCTTTAACTGCCTGCTCCCCGGACGGGCGGGCAGGTCCTAGGTCTCAGCCAGCCGTGTATTCCACATAGCGCTGGGGCTCGGGTGTAATGGGAGCTGTCAGTGTGAGGTTAATGGTTGGACTGGGTGATCTTCAAGCGCCTTCCCAACCCAGGCGGCTCTGTGGATCTGTATTCCCAGCCACCTGCCCCGACACGTTTCCGTCAGCGCCCTCCGCGGGTTTTTCTCTCAGCTGAATTCCAAGATGAAAGCATTTGGTGTGCTTCCTCAGCATGTTTACTGTATTTATTTCATCTGAAAAGAATTTAGTTCTTGCAAGGCAAACCAAAGCATATTAAGTAGGAATGATCAAGAGATTCACTTGAAAAACATGTTCCCAGTCCAAACTGAAAGGCTAATGTACCTTTATGTTTCAGATGAAGGCCATCCATCTTACACAGGTTCTCTTTATTCTGGAAGTAGCCCCAATTCCTGATGGCTCTGAAACTTTCTTGTCACAATCTTATTAGACAGGTATTTAAGTCCTGTGTCTCTGCCTTTCTTCTTGGACCTGCATCAGTACTAGCAGAGCTCCAGAGTGTTATTTATTTAATTATTTAATACTTGTCCTAAAGTAGTGATGATGTATATTGTAAATCTTTTATGTGAAAGGGGCTTAGGACTTCAGTGTTATAATTGTTAATATTTCTACTGATTGTGGCCGGAAAAAAAAATATTTGAGCCTGTTTTGCCTAGAATAGGGCTTCATCTCATTTGTGCAATATTAAATATGATATGGCAATTTAATAGTATCAAAATTGATTACTGCACCAACAAGAATCCTATCATGAGAAGCGTTCATGTTACTCTAAAGCTCTGATACCCAGCTTCTGCAAGAGGTGTTCAGCAGCATGGATCAGGATATCCAAATGAGAAGTGAGGTATCTGCTACTACTACATCTTAGCTAGTGCTTCCTATTCGCCTCTAAAATTGAAGGCAAAAGAATTAAAATGTAGTCTAAGTGTAATTTTTATACAGAATCCAGAATAGAAGTAAATTTTACAAAACATAGCAGCGCAAGTTCTTGTTTTAAGAATGTTAGCATTGACTGCCTATATTATCAGTAAAAACTTGTTTTCTAAATTAGCCACAGCCAGCGAATATGCTTCCCTCATGTGGGCTGCGTTGGCGTACGGAGATCAGCAAATCTAAGTACAGGATTATGTGTAGTATTTGAAGGTCAGAAGCTGAAGGTCTGAGAGCTATTTATTCTTCACCTCCCAAGCAAAGACTGTAACCTGGTTGGAGCAGTGTTGAATCTAGCTCACAGGTCGGACAGCCTGTGTAAAACTCAGAAGCCATCATTCGGCATGCTGCTGGGTCAGCCCTAGTGGTATCGGGAAATGACACCTACTTTCCAATTGTGCTGTCCTTGCAATTAAACTGGGTGGAGTAGGCAAGTGTTTGGTTGTAATCTTCTAATCTGCATACAATAAGAATCTTTCTCCAGCTTGTAAACCTAAAAATACTTTTCATGTTTTTGTACAGATAATTGATTATGAGAAGAATCAAACTCTAGGACAAAACGATACTGGGTTTAGTTGTGATGGAACAGCCAGTACATTCAGAGTTATGTTCAAAGAACCTATAGAGATTTTGCCAACCGTTTGCTACACAGCTTGTGCAACATTGAAAGTAAGAATGCCTAACAGTCCAGAAGAAAATACTGTTTTGATGCAAGAAATGTTCTTTTATCTGTCTTCTGATGGAAAGGTGTCTTCTAGATCTTGAATTTGTTTTAAGCTTAGTGCTAAAGAAGGATGTAGTTAAACTCCACAGTAACTTGTAAGTCTGCTAAGTAACTGTAAGACTTCTATGCCACAGCACAGAATTTGTAACTGGATCTTTTGGCCTCCCCACTTTCTGGCTTGATGTAAGAGTTAGAATGAGTCCTTCTGGGAGTCACTGGTTCTGTGTGGGCAAAAGCACTATCTAGAATATTTAATCTGGAAGCTCTTTATCAAAATTTGTTTGATTTCTTTTATTCTAATGACTAGCTAGAGTCAAGAAAGCTGAAAGGTTTTTTTAATCACTTATTGTATTCTAGTGCTGAAATATAGGAAGGAATTACTGTTCCAGGAAAGTCTTCTCTTAATGTTACAGACAAGTTTATTTATTCAGTTTTCTCAAAAACCTTTTAATATTCTTTTAAATATAATTCCCTATACAGAAATGAAAGTTGAGGGAGTTGAATAAAATCAAGCTGTCAGAGAAACTTTTCTTTGTTATCTAGACATAGTGCA